AACTATATGATGTATCTAAATAAAATGACATGGTTTGGATTTGCATTTTGATGCTCTTTGGGCGTATAGAGAGCTTTTTACAATTTTATTTGCATAAAATTTTGTATCATATATAAATAACTTTCCTTTTTTTCTTTTAGCTTAGAATAAGTGATATGATTTATATTAAAATTAAAAATAACTCTCTATAGAGGACATTTCCCTATCCTTCTAACATATTTTAAACTTAATTTGGAATCTGTATCTCTGTTCTTTAAAGAGTTATTTTCGTTCAAAGTTTACTATTAAACAAAAGATCGACGAAAAATCCTTCTTAATAAAAATTTATATACAGTCAGACCTCCATAAATGTACTCTTCATAAACGCACATCCTCCATAAATGCACGCTATGTCTTGGTCCCAACCTCAGGACTTAGTGATAAATGCACACCCTCCATACTCTGCACTGCACGGTATTTTTTTAGTCCCACTCATATGATAACTCCCTCCATAAATGCATCCCACGTGACTAATGTATAAAATTCATCGTGTAACTAGGATAAATTTAGAAATCATCGGCAAAATTTTTGATTTGATTGGATAATTTCCAATGTCATAAAATGCAAGTTGATGAATTTTTGAATATCCCTGAAGAAAATATTGTCTGTGAGGTTCCAGATGATGATAAAATAATCAAAGAACTTGCAGAAATATATAAAAATAAAATGAATGTACTTCTCTCTCTCTCTCTTTCTCTCTCTCTGCTGACAATTTTGAGAAGATGAGATTAAGCCTTAAGGAAGCATTAAAGGTCTTGAAACTGTACATTCATTTTTGTTACAGCAAGAAAAATAATGCTACAAACAAATAAAATTGGTTAATAAAATTGAAAGATACATCAATATAAAAAAAGTAAATTCATCAAAACGAACTACAATGGATAGCTATTTTAGTATTACTGTATTTAAAATATTGTGTATCATTTGTGACCAATGAAATTGCTTCTTTCTATAAATGCACACCCTTCATAAATGCACGCTGTCCCTTGGTCCCAAGGGGGGTTCATTTATTAAGGTCTGACTGTTATGTGATCGACTATGTTTGTAAATCATATGGTATGGGACACCCCAATGCAATATGATATAAATTTAATTTGATATTCATGATTTAGTTTATAATTTTTGTGAACAGGTCAAACACCAATACAATCAATCCTATCATTACAGCACTCATTATTATGAATTATTATGATATATAATTAAGAATCTATGCATTAATCTAATTTAATTCTATATTTTATCATTTGTGTAGCTTGTATCAAATTATAATAAAACAAACAAATTATGATTATGTTAAAACAATAGTATAAATAATTTATTACTCCATCTTGTATACTAATGTGAGGCATTATATTCAATACATGAAAAAGATTTAATCCATTGTGATTTACATAGTGGTAATATACTTGTGGATGTAGGTAATTGTTATATTACAGATTTAGGACTATGTGGACCAGTTGATGAAAAGTCATCAGATAAAGTCTATGAAATTGTATCATATACTGTGCCCGAACTACTTTGAGGCAAAAAGAACACAAAAGAATCAGATATCTATAGTGTTGGAATGTTAATGTGGGAAATATTTGCAGGTCGTCCACCATTTGATGATAGAGCTCACAATCATTTTTTAATTTTTGATATAGGTGCAGAAGGTTTACGACCACCAATATTGTCAGGAATGCCAGATGATTATGTGCAAATGATGCAGAGATGTTGGGATGTGGATCCATCAAAAAGACCAACTATCAGTGAGCTTTGGGATTTTGCTGATAATAAATCGGAAGAAATTCTTAAAAATGAAAGTTTGAAAAATCATAGTAAAAATAATAGTTTAGTAAAAAGATTATTCGAATTTTCTAGAACCAAAAAACATGAAAATGATTTTAATAATAGTAGTAGTGTTAGTAATGATTCGCAACAAGTACACAAATCACATCCAGATGCATATCGTAAAAGTAGAATCTTAGATGAAGAGGTTGCTAAATCAAAAAGCTTTAAAAGTTATACAAGTAATGATAATTCATTAAATAATCTTGATTTTAACTCTCTTCTCTTGAATGCTGAAGGTGAATAAAATTTCATTATTAATTAATTTTGAAATTACTATCCATTAATTGTTACTAACAATATTTTTATTTACATTTGATTGATTAATAAACATTAGATTCTACTAATTAAAAGAAAGAATCGATGAGTGACCAATTTAATATCCAGTATAATTATTTTATTTCATTATAACTATTTATTATTTTTATTTCATTTTTTAAAGCTAAAAAATATGGTGATATTGAAGTGTAGCCTTTTGATTATGGCTTAACTTTTGAGCTACCCTTGTCAATTAATTGCAAGCTATAATTCAGTAAAATCAGTTTACAAATTTATTTTGGCTCTTGCTTGCTGCCTCTTTCTTGTACCTAGAAATCTTCGCCAAATATATAAGCATACTTAATGGTACTGAATAACTGTAAATAAATAAAATGGCTCAGAGGCTTCTACAAAGTTCCTTTTATTCACTTGTGACTGATTCATTTCAGTTGTTTAACCGATCAATTTTTGCCAATATTTTTGTCAAAACCAACTTTTCCTTATATCAAGCGCCAAAAAATAGAATCGAATAAAAATGGAAATTAATAATAATGAAATAATCAAAATAATTACTTTACACTTCCTCTTACTGAAAACTCTTTAAATAACATCACAAATTATCAACACCGATATTTAAAACGTGAAAATATTATTACGCAACAATTTCCACAACACCACCATTTACGACAACAGAATATCGTTGCCGCTACCAATATCATCGATACTACCGCAAACAACCATATTGCCGGCGGCGACGGCAATGACGCGAGAACTTGGACTCGACTCCATTATTAAATTATCCTTCATTTTTTCTTGTGAAAACAATAATAATATGATTTGGCTTTTGACACGTCTTGAAAAACGTATTAATTAATAAAATGGAACAAAATAGAAACCAAAGAATTTTTCAAGCAACATTTTATTACAAAGTAAATGCTTTCGATAATTGCAACAAAATTAGTAATGATATACTTACAATCCTTTGGGCCAACCTTTTATTCGTGTAGAATGGTTATGAATGAAACCTTGTCAAGCTGAACAAATGAACTTTTGTTTTAATCAACATTAGTCTCTCGATACTTATTATTATAAATTTATGGCAATAAGATTGGGAAAGATGATCATTGGAATCTCAATTGGTACTTTTTTGTTGAAGAAAAAAGCACCTCGAAATAATAAAAAAGAAAGATGCTGGTATTGGGTTGAGTCAGAAACTAAACATTACAGAGAACTCAAATCAGCAAAAACGATGAATGAAAAAGGAATCATTTGGAACAAAATCTCCGATAAACATCTTATCGTGGTAAACAGGCCTGTAAGGCAAAAATCTATTTCAATCTGATTTGTTACAATGTAAAAAATCAGGATTGACGTAAATAAAAGCAGTCAGACTGGACAATCTCCGCTACTTTTTTTATGATGAGATGTCCTAGTATTATGCCGTTGAATTCTTTTCAAATAAACGCGGAGCTTTTGAACAACAAATGTAAGCAGAGGAATTTAGAAATTCTCTAGTTGATGCTTTAAATAAATTTACAGATATAAATAATGAAATATAAATCGAGTTTGCATTTTGTTGAAATACTTTTTCTCCTTTAACTTTTAGTTTCTGATTCTCCTATTTCATTCCCAACTTGTATTCTCCTTGTATTCATTATTATCATTATGATTAATTTCACCATGAACCCAAACATCATTGTTATCCCCGTGACTCAAAATCTGACCAACAAAGTTGAGTATTGTTTTATTTAAACGCGTACGTAACACACGTTTATAGGCGGATCGATCAGATTGTACATTACTTTTATGACATATAACATCTGGTTTGACTCTTATTAAGGTTCATTGGTGGGAAGGGTTTTTTGAAGAGTTTCCCCTGATTTCAAACGCAGTCAGCAGATCTCTGGCGTTAAGAAGAAAGCTTGATTTGTTATTTTCCGTTTAACCATTATTTCATCGAGAGATATTCCCAATTGCAATTGTTTATCATGTGTTTGAAATATTCATGTACAGGTTATTGGTCTTTTATGTAATATTAGACAAGTTAAGAAATTAATTTATTACAAGGAAATTTTTTAATAAAAAAATTCATTAGCAACTGGGAGTCCAGCAGCAGAGATCATCATCATCTGTCATTGAGGATTAACGGCGTGCATAGAGATGGAAAAGATTATTCTATTGGAAAATTGAGCATAATATTTTAGATCGGATCGGGTATTATTTATTTATTTCCAATTGTTGCATAATGACCAACTTGGAAATTTTTTTAAAAGGACTATTCTTCTTTAAAGCATCGTAGCGACCAAGTTTCATCACTTCTTTGTTAATAAAAAAATTTGTTGATCATTTTCTAATTCTAGCTAAAAAGGCAGTACAATTATGTTTAGGAAATGTAGCATGAATGAACAACTCTCAGGCATCAAACATAAACACCCTCCTTATTGATATAAAGTTTATAATCAATTACCTTGTGATAACGTAATTGGATTGATCGATCCAAGGTTTCAACTTGAAGATCATTTATTTGTAAAGATAATATTTCTTATGTAACAATTATTACAAAACAAGAAAGGCCGTCAAAGAAGTTAATACAAACAAATTTGGGAAAAAATTTGGAAAAAATTTTATGGATTTTCGCCATTGATTTTACTCCTATTTAATGACACTTTTTTCCTTTATTTATTTTCACCTTTTTCCAACATTAATTCCATAATTTCTTCTTTTCTCTTTTTTTTATATTAACTTTTTTCAATAATAATCGAGCAATTATAGACTGGTTCTATACTTTGCAATATACATAATATACATCCATTCATCATATTAATAAAAAAAACCATCAATATTATTTAATATTTTAAATAATTTTTTTTTTCAAAATGAAACCAACTAATTTCTTTTCTTTAACTTTGATCTTTATTTTTTTCATTATTTTCAACAACAATTCTATTGTTTCTGCCGTTGAGTATGAGATAGAATTTAGTTATACGGGTGAGACGGCACCGGAATTTTGGGACAAATTATCTGAAGGTTCAAAAATTTGTAAAACTGGTAAACTTCAATCACCAATTGATATCACATCAGAACTATTATTAGCAAAGAAAAAAGAAACGCCAAAATCAGACTTTCAAGATGCTTTAAATGTCGAATTCATTAATAACGGGAATACGGTAGAAGTACTCCCTGGCAAAGGGAATAAAACCTTGCCGGCTACAATCTTCAGTAGCGACGATGGTACTAAATATCAATTGGATCAATTTCATTTCCATACACCTTCCGAACATCGTGTCAATGGTAGACATTTCGATGTTGAACAACATTTAGTATTCAGTAAAGTTGAAGGCAAAAACCCAAATGAAATTGCAGTCGTTGCTGTTTTCTACAACATCGGTGATGAAGAAAATGCGTTTTTGAAACCACTTGTCGAAAAAGTAAGCTTATATCAAAAGAAATTTTAATAATACACATATATATTATATCTGTGCGTACATATTTATTTATCTTTTATTTGTTTTGAAATCATCTAGATTCCAAAGAAAGTCGATGAAAAGAATGAAATTGAAAAGGTTGAATTAAGTGCATTGGTAAAAGACATAGATAACATTAGCAACGTAAGTAGTAATAATATTTATTTGAAACAAGCAAACAAACAAACCATCATGAATTGTAACTTATTTCATTTCGTTCCTTAAATATAAAGGCATTCAATTATGGTGGCAGTTTGACAACACCACCATGTACTGAAACCGTTGAATGGTATGTCAACCAGAAACCATTATCACTTAGCATAGAACAATTTACGACGATGCGCAATGTCATTGGTTTCAATTCACGTTTCACGCAATTAAGAAGTGACGAATCCGTTATTAAGAAAAGGTCATTTCCAAGGTTGAGAAGATTTTTTAGACGATAGAATAATTTATTCATACATAATAAATATTTAATAAATTTCATGCATTACAATCAATAAATTTAAATAATTTTTGAAAAATTAATTAATTGCAACCATCATATTCATGCAAGAATTATTTATTAAAATTTTTTTTTCCTTAAAAACTGAAATGTACCAAACATCTGTCAAATTTTCCAAAAAAGTCTTTTGTTTCACATCACAGAACAATCCATTTGCATGCATGCTAATACTTACTTATTACTAATGCTTATTCCCCAGGTTATCAAGTAACACAATGTAACATCACCTGTCAATTGTGAACAGGAAACCCAGAAATAATAGACATTAACAGTAATAGTAATAGTAATAGTAAAAATAGTAATAGTAATAGTAGTCGAAATATATCCAAAATTATTCGAGTTCTTTAAACTAAAATAAATCAAACAGCATTGCTATTTTGTGTTCATTCATATAAGAAATGTTTGAAAATCCTAAATTGTTGCCGAAATTAAAAATAAAAAACAAATTTTTTAATAATTGTCTTGCGACTTCTTCGTACCCATGCCACGTAATTATGTAACTGTGGCCAGAATTCTTACTTTTTTTTTGTTTTTTTTACTTCTTTTTCTAAAGATGTTCTTCTAAACACTATATGGGAATTTTACCACTGTTGACAAATTACGATATCGTTTGCTGCTTTTCAAAAATAACCAAGGTTCATTTTGGTAAATTATTATTTTCGATTTTTCCGTAATTAATTCACATTTATTACATAATTTATAATTAATGAGTATACTATAGAAAGAACTTCTAAATTAAAAATGCAGTATAATGATGTTTTTAAAAACCCGTCTTCTCCATGTGTTTCATTATCATTACCATGTTTTGGTTGATCATATGTTAATAATAAATTTAAACAAGTCAATTTCGTGATTTTCTTTGTTTGCACACTTAATGGTTCCCACATTGTATTCTATACATTTCCATTTATTTTTCTTTCTCCTCTTCCTCTTTCTCGTCCACTTCTTTCCTTTATTGATTTTTTTTTATTTTTAATTGACGATCCGCGAATGAATTATATAGTGATCGGCGGTGCAAAAATAGTAAAAAATCGTCAGTTGACAATGTTTTTAACAAAGAATAAATCACAATGTTTTGGTATTACAAACTTTATTCTTTTTATGTATGTATAAAGTAAATCTCACAGATTATTATTGTATCAAAATATTAAAGGGCTTGGAATGTTTCTTGAAAACTTTTTTATACGTAGGAAGCTGAGATTTCAAGAAGTTCATAACATATAAAAATTTGTAATTTTCTAATTTTCAGCCAACACTATCAAGTATTCTGACCAGAGCCATACATTTTTTTTTTATCGGTTTATCAACAAAAAAACTTTTATTTTACCAAATGAACCACATGTCGTTACAAGTCAAGTCAATAAAATAACTGCAAAAGAATTTTAAAGTAGTGTTCAACGATCTTGAAAGAATTCTAAGGTTGTTCTTTATACTTTTTGTGTAGACATGAGATTAACGTGTGAGGACGGTGAGATTAAGGTTGTGGGCGAAACCTCCTTAGTAATTACTGAAACCACGGCAAAACTATATTAAATCTTATCAAAAATCCTGTTGAAACTATCGCCGATATGGCAAAACCTCAAAATGCGAAACTCTAATAAACAATTAAATGTGTAACCTGCCGAAACCCTGCTGATTGATTTCTGGAGGAGTTTCGGCAGGCAACCTTTGAGAATTTTCTTATTTTATTAATAACAATTAGCACCAAAATTTTTATATTAAAATGTCGATCATTTCCCTGATTCATTCGCGAATCAGCAATTAAACTTTTTTATTGTAAAGAACTTTTATTTATTAATAAAAAAAACGAAAATAAATAATACAAATAACAATAATCCAATATGTTGATATGTTGTAAACAATATTCTATGAAAAAAATTGTTACACGAAATTTACTTAGTCACAATTTCAACGGGAGAGACCGTTCTGAGAACACAAAAATTAACAGGAGGGAACACACAATTTTAACCCATGCAATTTGTTGAATGACCAATTAAAATTGTGAATTGATAACGTAGAAATAAATATGGGTTTGATTCATTTTGTCAACAATCACTTCACCAACAATTGTTTCAATTGTTTCGTTAACGAATTTAAGAAGTTGGAAGCAACCAGTGAAATAGTCTAATAAATTTATGAAATGTTTCAGATGTTTCATATGACTATAATTATTGTACATTTACATTAAAATCTCGGCTTTACGGATAAAGTTCAAAGAACGGTTCCATAATAAACCTTAATAAAAACCTTCTCGATTAGCGGATATTACGGTTTAATGGATTTTTGGAAAACTTTCCCTAATTGCCCAAACTATCTGCTGAATCAAGAATTCACTGTAATATTTTCCCAAACAATTTTTATTTGACTTGCATCATAACCGTAATAGTTCATTTCTTCATCATCATTAAATCGTTATGCATTGTATAAACATTTTTCTTTGCCGATGATTTTTCTATATATATTTGTGTTTTTTCCTTGAAAATCATTTACAATCAGATCTCCCTCCCTAAGTGCACCCTCGATAAATGCACACTCTCCATAAATGCACGCTATGTCTCATTCCCAACCTCGGAAGTTAGAGATAAATGCACGCCATACTCTGCACTGCACGGTATTTTTTCACTCTCTCCATAAATGCACCCACGTGACCAATGTATAAAATTCATCGTGTAACTGAATTTCGTGGCTTCATGTAAACAAAAATAAATTTGTTCGTTATTTACTATTTTCTTTCATCACATAATTTTATAACAAACAAAGGTCAAAAATTTTTGTTATATTACAATCTGTGTAATTTATAACGAAATTATATATTTTATTTATTGCTTTGTATTTTTACAATGAAATTATCTTTAATTATTATTATAGCTTTGTAATTTATATAATGTAAATATTTGTCCATAATTTTTATTACAGCAAAAAAAATGCTAGAGAACAAATAAAATTGGTTAATAAAATCGAAAGATATATCAGTGTAAAAAAAGTAAATTCATCGAAACAAACTATAATGGATAGTTAATTTAATATTAATTAAATTTTTAAATATAAATAAATAATAAATATAAAAGTTTTTTTTTAAAATATTGTGTATAACGTGCAACCAATGAAATTGCTTCTCTCTATAAATGCACACCCTCCATAAATGCATGCTGCCCCTCATTCCCGAGGGGGATTGCACTTATGGAGGTCTGACTGTATAATAATTTATAAACTAACAATTTAGAATGGGATATGTGTATATAATATATACACATATAAAGGTTCACTAATTGTTATTGAAGTAGCCTCAACTTTTCCTGTAATTTTTGTTTTGCTTGATCTGATAATAAAATCATCAGTTGTTTGTTTATTTCCTCCATTCATGCCTCCAAATTCATTATTGGTATCCTCTCCTCCATAGCTTAAGCCTATTTGTTATATATCATTTTTTGTTTCTTGTATATTTTGTCCAAATATTTTAATCCCGGACGTAATTGTATAGGTGACAAATGAAGATTGCCTAATCGAAGAGAATATAATTAGTTAATTAGTTATAAAATTGATCAATTAGTCAAATCATCATCACCATCTTTAACTGCCCCATCTATTAATTGGCTTGTTGAGGAACAATTGTGGATTGTAAAGTTTGTCGATCTAATGATCCTTCAATTTGATCTCGGTGCCATTTTCTATCATATATTGTTTTGCTTCTTTATCATTAAGCCCTAATGCTAAAAATTTTTCTTTTCGTGATCATACCATTTTGAATTTGTTTAAAGTGGAATGCCTAATTCTAATTTTATAGAACCCCGTTAAATCGTGCTTCACAAGAGCATTGATCCCAGTGTAAGGGTTATTATGCGGTCTCACAGGATGCTGAACTATATATAAATTATTACCAAGTTGTTGCGACAAAAACATGGGAATTTCTTGTACAATGTCATTAGAATCAAGATTCGGTTCACTCATATTTCAAGATTGTTGAATTTTTATTTCAACTTTTTGTTATATGGTGCAGTTGATCATCATCATAATAAAATTTCATGTATGGCTTTTTCGCCTTTGGGCCAGTTTTTTATTCTTATATTAATTCATCATGAGGAACAATTTTAGAATCTATACTTATATTTAAAGAAAATTGATTGTTTTGAGCCCCAAAAATTTGTTACCATTTTAAAATACAATGTAAAAAGGCTTGGAGGACTCAGAACTAGTTTTCATTATTTTTTGACATGACTATCTTGTCCTAAACAGAAGATTTGGCAAAGCTCGTTATAGTGGGTTTTGTCTATAGTGGAGTGGACTTTTTTATTTCCCAATTCCCTTTACAATAAAACGTGTTCGTTATAGTGGACTTCTTAAAAAAAGATTTGGTTGATTTCTTTCAGTAGATCAATTTACATAGTATCCTCTTTCCTTTTTTTTAATAGTGTTAAAATAACTTTTCATTTTCAAAAAAGACTTGTTGATTTCTTTAGCAATAAAGAAATTGATTTACGAATTTTTTGATGGATTAAATCTGCAAGATCCAATCAATGCAGAACATTTTATTTACATTGGTGATGAAGTGCCGGTACAGAACTAACCGACGAAGAAATTATTAGGGCAGTGAAGCCAAATCCTGAGGTTAATAATTCTGATGAAGAGGAAGAAGTGGAAAATGGTGGATCAAATAGTTTAGAAAAAATGATTCAATATTTAAAAAATCCACCAGATAATTTTACAATTAGTTTCCAATAATTAAAATCAATTACATTAGACAGTTTTATTTTGTTGTGCATGAATTTGCATTATTATTTAATAAAAAATTCATCTTGTTCGTTATAAGGGACTTTTCAATTTATTTGTAATAAGTCCACTATAAAAGGATTTTTCTTTATAATGGACAAAAAATGTCTGGAATCGAGTGTCTACTATAACGAGCTTTGACTTGTACAAATTTAGATGTAATCAAAGATACGTACGTTTATGAATTTTTGGAGAGAACAAATGCCGAAAAAATTCCCTGCGAGGAATAGGATTTCTACACTTTGAGGAATTTGACGAAGATGACGAAATCAACAATAACAACAAATTTTTTACATTTTTGGTTCAGGAGTAATAATAAAATTCATGATGTCAAATTCTAATTCACCAATTCCTTCTATATGAATTAAATTTAGATAATATATCTGAACAACAATCAAGAATTAGTTCCAGGACGTCCTGTGTCTGATATATGGAAAAAGTAAAAGACATTTCCCAGCATCTTACAAATATTGTTCAAAAAGCTGGAATCGTGGAACACCTTTTAAACTCAAGGCTCATTTAGCTAGTGAATGTCCTGGATATCATTACTCTATTTCTCGTTTTTATTTGGATGAAATTAACAATCAACAAAACAATGAAATAAACAAAAAACAAAATGTCCAAGCTCTTTTGTCAACTTTTATGAAAGCACTGTTCTAACTGAACAAAGAAAAAATTCAATCGATTTTGACTCTTGACTTTTATTTTGTCTTTTCGTCACATTTCGTAATAATTTCGTCACCCAACCTTGATTCACAATCTGGATAACTTCATTTAAAAACGGGAATAATACCTCTTTTTCTCATGGACTAGTTACATTACAAAAGTATGTGGTTTTCTTTTACTTTATCGATCGCCCAAAAAAGCATCTTGTTATTCAATTACATCAACTGAAATTTCTACAACTTTTTTATTCCAAAAAAAAAAAACCTGAAAAAATTTAATTTTGTTGATATGTCATATTACCATATGCTCAAAGTTGCACAAGCTTACTACACATTTATTTATATTATCAAGTACTTTAAACAATTAATTGCTGTGTCCGATTTATCAAGTTTAACGTGTGTATGTTGCTATCCCAAAATTGGCATGATACACAAATGTTTTATGAACGAATCGGCTATCACCAAAACACATGGCCGTAAAAAATTTTTATTGCAGAAAGTTGACTTGCAGCGAAAAAAAAGTTATATTAAGACATTTAAATACACCCTACCTTAAAGATTTGGACGACTCTTACCACGCCATCTCGAGGTACACCAAAACCCTTGCTTCCATTTTTGGTATATATAAATAAGATAGTCACATTACATCAAAGTTTTTTTAGTGTATATTAATTATGTACTGCAACATACATATAAATATAGATTTAAATAAAAAATTCTCAAACAAAAAAACCCCGATTTTGAATTTTCTTTTTTTTGTAAATTAAATATGAAAGTGCCAACGCAAAATTGCGCTCATTCACAAGTTGAATTAAAAGTTAGTTGTAAAGATTTAGTAGACTTGGATATTCTTTCAAAAAGCGATCCACAGATTTTATTATCAATAAAAGATCCTAAAACACGGGAATGGAAGTCACCACGTAAAACTGAAGTCATAGAGAATGATTTAAATCCAGAATTTGTAACTGGGTTTATTGTTGATTATGCATTTGAAGAATTACAAGAACTTAGGCAATTAGAAAAGTTTTCACTTTTGATTTTTTTTATTTCGAAAAAAAAAAAATTAAAACTTTTCTTTTTATTCTCCAAAACATTAGATTTATATGTGTAGATATTGATGAACCAAAAGATATGGATTGGAGACATCAAGACCTTATTGGCGAATTTGAGTGTGATTTAGGATCAATTGGTAAGATTTTAAATTACAATATTATGCATGATATTATAACAATTAACAATTTAATGAAATCATTTTGATTAAAGTTGCCAGTGAAGGGGGAAAGATGGATGGAATTTTGACTTTGCCTGATCATCCTGGCAAAAAACGTGGTCTCATAACTATTTTAGCTGAAGAAGTTAGTAAATCTAAAAGAAATCTACAGTTAGTAAAATTATTTCTTATTTATATTATAATTATAAATTAATTGAGAATATTATAAATATTTTATGAATTAAATTTTATTTATTAATCAATAATTAGATTACAGTTCCAAGCACGTAAGATAGTTAACAAGGTGATTTATTAAAAAAAATATCGTAAAATTAAGATATTACATTTTAGAAAATTTTACGCTTTATAATATATTAACATACCAATTGTTGACATCATTCAGGGTAGATTTTTTAGAGCAAAAGCAGCTACATTTTTGGTTATTAGTAGAAAAAATGAGAGTAATAATATATTCACACCAGTTAATAGATCAGAAGTAGTTTCTTCTTCTAGCCCATGCTGGCAAGAATTTTACAGTAAATTATATATTTATTTATATATTTATTTATTTATTTATTTTCACAACAAATGTTTAATTTCTTAAATTTAATTCTTTTATTGTTGTAATTAATCGAATCAGTAAGAGAATCCACTTTATGTAATGGCGATTATGATAGAGAATTACAATTACAAGTCAAACAACATAAAAGGAATGGAGGTATGATAGCAATCATCATTATAATTGGTTGAATAATTAAAATAGTAAATAATGATAATGATAAAATGATAAAACCAATATTTTCATTCAGAACATATACCTCTTGGAGAATGTTCTGTTACACTTCGAGATATTATGGAAAATAAAAAGCCATTTCCATTGAAGCTTCAACCTGGCTCACAAAGGAAAGTTTCAAAAGATGCAAACATAACAATTGTTAAAGCTTTGGTACAAGAACCTCCGAGTTTTTTGGATTATATTGCAGGTGGCACAGAAATTCGTCTTATGGTAGCAATTGATTTTACTGGATCAAATGGTGATCCCAGAAATCCAAAAAGTTTACATTATAGTGCTGGAGGAGAAAATGATTATCAACGAGCAATCAAAAGCGTCGGAACAATGTAAAAATTTTTAGATTTGAAATATTTCAGTTTATATATTTATTAATATTAACATTAACATTAACATTAATCTTTGAAATATATATATATAGTTTAGAAGCATATGATTCTGATAAATTATTTCCTGTTAGTAGAATCATAAACAATTTATGGTGATCAAATAATCAAAAGAATCATAATAACATTGACCGTTGTATGTAATTATTAGGTTTATGGATTCGGCGCAAAATTTAATGGAATATTGTCTCATGTTCATCCTCTTAATAATAATCATCAAAATGTCAGTATTTCTTCTTATTAATATCAATAGATATATACATATTTGCTTACGTATATATTGTTTATTTTATAGCCAGAAGTTAAAGGTGTAGAAGGCATATTGTCAGTGTATTCACAAACAATAAATACTGTTGAATTATATGGACCAACCAATTTTTCTCCAGTACGTTTATTTTTAAAATTTCACCATCATGTCAATTTTGAATCTTATCTCACATCTCATCAATCAATCATATCATCATATCAACTAATCGTCTAATTGTCTACTTTTAGATTATAAACCTGACAGCTAATAAAATCGAAACAGAATTGAAAGCAGGGAATACAAAATCCTATTATATATTATTAATAATCACAGGTAATAATGATATATTAGTAGTAATATAACTAGACGATCTAGAAAAAATTCAAAACTTATTGATTCATTAATTCATTCATTTACCAACTAATCAACTAATAATAATCATAATTCTTGTTAGATGGTGTAATAACAGATATGGATTTAACAGTTCGTGCTATAGTTAAAGCAAGTTCTCTTCCACTTTCAATTGTTATTGTTGGTGTTGGTAATGCAAATTTCGCACATATGACTAGGCTTGATGGTGATGATGATAATCCATTATCTGTAAGCTTATATTATATTTGATTGATTATTTGATTAAAAAATCTTTAGATCATAATTATTTATTTATATATTTAATATTTTTTTTTGGCATAGGCGAAATCTGATAATAAATCATTACCTAAAACAACGGGAAGAGACATAGTACAATTTATAGCCATGAGAGATTATCAAGCAGAAGCAGCTGGATATTCATTACCAAAAGCAGTACTAGAAGAAATACCAGATCAATTCATGGACTACATGAATAAAAACAAGATTTATCCAAAAAAGAGAGCCATAGACAAAATACGAGTTAATCCAAGGTTTTTTAAATAATCTAAAGAACCACAACCGATTTATGCACATGATGCACAAGTTAAATCCTAATTTGTTGTATCTCAATATATTGAACATTATTTATTGTTTTATAGATTTGCCATTTAATTATTATTTTATTTATTACTATTATTATCATCATCAGAGGAAAATAGATTAATATATAAAATAAATGTTTTTGTTATTATTTATTATTATTAAAATCGAAAAAATCAAAATAATTTTTTCTCTGAATTTTTAAGGAATCGGAATTTGTAATTTTTTATTTTTTTCCTGGGATTTTATTTATCTTCATCAGGTGGGATGTGCATTTCATGATTACTTTTCAAGGACAAAGAACTTGAACATAAGATAGACTCTTTGGAAAACAAAGAAAGCCAAAAAATTTACCTTAACCTTTCCATCATAAAGATCGGAGTCAGTTCAAGTTTTTACTTTTCTTGGGCAAATATCCTAGGATTTGAAACTAGAAATTATTTTAATAATAGTGAATTCTTAATAATCACATTAAATGTCGGATTTTGATATATTGGAGATGAAAAAGGAAGATTCATAATCCGTGATCCACTTTTAAATGGAAATAAGCTCTTGTATTATTGCGAAAAAAAAAATATTAGATAATTATTTGATAATGTGCCGAGTGCTAAATGTATAACAGTTTCACTTGTTGGTTATTATTGTGTATCCATTGCATCTATTCTCACTTTCATTGTTTTACACGGGTAATTTTGTATCTATTATTATTATTGTTGATTCAAAATTATTCTTATAGTTTGAGTGATAAATCCATAATACAGTGAAGCAATGTAATCTAACATGGGCGATACGATTTGTTGTTGCGTTTAATCGTTCGTCTCCAAGTATGAATTAACTAACTATGAATGGGAAGCCATTGGCTTCTTGCTCTTTTGATTTTTCGCGCACGCTTTTCCTTAATTCTTAGCATCCAGCTGATTTAGTCTATTTTTGCTGCTAGTAAAATTAAAACATCGCGAAGAGAAAATTTATATTTTGGCGGAGAAAATATTTTAAATAAAAGCCAACCTGCTCACTTAATTGGGGAATCAATACAAGCCAAGTTATTGATATATCAAAGGAGTCTAATAATTGCCTATCAAGCAAAATTAAAAAGACCATCTGTTACTTTGTTTGTTAATATTGAAGAAGCATTAATTTTGTGGATTGAAAAGGCTCTCGAACGCAAATTTAACAATTACGGATTCTATTATTAAACGAAATTCACAGATTTGTTAAATAATCAAGATTTTTAGTGGCTCTTCTGGTCGGTTAAGTAATTTCAAACAAAGATATTCAATTTGCGAATATTTTAAACATGGTGATGCACAAAGCGCACCTATTAAGAAATGAGAAGAGACTTGGAAAATATTCTTAAAGAATGCCAACTGAATGATATTTTCAATTATGACAAAACTGTTCTTTTCTGGAAAATGTAACCAACACATGGACTGTCGACTGCTTCACTTTCAGGCCCTGTAAAAAATTTACTCCGTGATTAGTCTCTGTTTTTTTCTGTTTATTATTATATTAATAAATATACATTTCCGTATTTTTTTCATAAATGTATTAGTGTATTGATCAGCGAATTAAGGTCCAATTCGCATTCCGGTGACTTTTCCCAGATAAAACCTATGTCATCCCAATGGATTAATCGGATTAATTTAAGAAGTGAAATATATTTTCTAATATTGAATAAAAATATTATCAATAACAATATCATTACAATTTGTTTATTTTAATATATGAAATCCATCTCTTGTTCCTATTAAAATAAGTTTAATTACTAAATCAAAGTGGAAATTTTGCAACAAAGTATTTTGTATTTGTTAGTTGGAGCACACAACTTGATGATCCTGATTATTTAGAAATGTATTGTCAAAGGATTGAAGTTTGTGAATCAATGCTATCAAGTTATTGAATAACTACTACCATGATAGATCTGTCGAATTTAATCAAACAAGATTTTATTAAAAGTATAAGTTTTTCCATTGAAATAAGTTAACGGTTTTGAGGATGATTTGATCCGCAATTCCTTTTCTTGTTAATATTAAGATCTAATATACCCACTTTGCCAGGTGTAAGCACTGATTATGGATCCACAACAGGAATGGTTGTGCTCAAAGAATTCTAATTTATAATGTTAAATACGTTAGGTAAACTTGTCAATTGTAATAATGCGTGACGAAATTTTTGACTTTAGTCATTGACGTAACTAAAGTGTTGACCAAAGGTAGTTCTCACCAAGGCCATTTTGACGATTTGGCTAAAGTAAAAACACTTGAAGGGCCATTTAATTGGATCGTATAAAACTAATTATATTATCATAAAACAACTTATTAAAGAATTTTCTTTCAAAATAAAATCCCTCTTCTTTTTTACAAATTAAAGCTATTCTTTTATTATTACATTTCATAAAAATGAAAAAATCAAATTGTTAACTTGACGTTTTTTCGAAATTTTGACATTGAAGTAAGCTTGTCCTCCGTAATCAAATATCAAATGTTGCAAAGATGCAACAATCTGCCCCTTTTGTTGCAACAAAACCGTAATGTTACAACATATCCATAATGTTGCAACACACCCGTAACTTTGCATATTATACATAGTGTTGCAACATAAACACGGTGCAGTTAGACCGCTTTTAAAAACATTATTATTATTATAAACATAAGCACAAAAAATTTGAATTCATTTATCTATTCATCATTTAATTGCGGTAAGTAAGCATGTGGATCTCCATTTTCATCTATATCGCTTTTCTTGAAGGTGGTTGATATCCAAGATTTAATGCTTTTTAAAAAATCAATGAAAAACAGGTTTTTTACAAGACAGAAAGGTAATGCACACATAATAAACATCATAACCAAAGCTTTATCGATTGTTTTATGCAGGATTCTTCTAAATCAACTGAACAAAAATAACCATCAATATGAATGTCCAGGAATTTTTCCTTGTTTATAAAATGTTGACTTTGTAAAATCAATTCATTTACTTCATTATTGATAGCTCAGATGCTTTTGAACATTGAGAAACATGAGAATGTAAAGATATGGTTGGGCATCTTTAAAAAATGACAAACATGGCTTACATGTAACTTAGTAATGTCCATTACCAAGATGGTTACCACGTGTAAAATATTCCCAAATATCACTATATTTTGGATCAAGTTTATTTTTGTTATCAGTTATCTTTAATTATTATATTCGTGAGAGAAAAGTAATGATATAATTAGAAATGTAAGGATCATACTTTTTATTGGTATGATAAATATTACAACATTACGGTTAGTTGCAACACCGACCCTCCAATGTTGTATTGTTGCAACACAAGTTGCAACACCATAATACCATAATTTTACATTACAGATGCCAACTTTACATTGAAGTTAACTACACGTAGTAGCAATACACAATAATATTAATAATGTGCGTGAGCTGTCTTTAATGAAGCACACATAGGCTGGTCAATATTGGTGTGTAAAATGACTTTTACATAGTACATGAGACAGGTTTAGGTGCAGGTGTCTGTGAGTTTTAATTTTGAAGTTTCAAAAGTGATAAAAATGGTAAACAAAGAAAAGGAAGAATATTAAGATTCTTTATTTTGAAGCATTATAATCGATCATTAAAGCTTGTTGATGTTGGTGTAGTTCTTTAAAATAATGCAATTTTTATTTAAGGTTTATATCAATAATTTATCAGGGCGCACACCATACACCATGATGATAGTTATGTTAGCTGGCTAAAAAATTTACCAACTTAGCCAGCCAAGGAATTTTTAAATGGCTTAGCTGGCCAAAAAAATTTCTCTTGACATTCATTTTTACATCTAAAATTTTAGTGCAGAATTCAGTGGCATAGATAAACATTTAGTGAGATGAGTCCACCTGTATGATACATTTGCTCAAAAAAAAAATACAATACATCATAGCATGATAAAAGTAATAGAGTTTCTATTCATAGTACAAATTCTTATTTTAATTCAAATTATTATTATTAGTTTTATTCAAATTATTCAAATTATTATTAGTTTTAGTTTTATTTGGATTATTCAAATTATTATTATTATTTTTATTCAAATTATTCAAATTATTATTATTAGTATTAGTTTTATTTGAATTATTTGAATTATTAGTACATACGTTTATTGAAATGTGATTATTTATTTACATTTGTGTACTAATTTCAGTAATGATTTTTATGTAATATTGCAATGATAGGGAAAAAAGATTTTGATGTTCCATGAATTTAATCACATTGTATATAAAAACAAGCAACAGACAAACAGAATCATTGTTTCCAATTGAAATTTGATGTAAATCTTTGCAGAAACCAAAAAGATCATGACATTGAAAACCCTATGTGGAACAAAAGGACACTAAACCATTTTTTTGAGACAAGAGTTTCATCATGAACCTGTCTGAGAATAATGTATACAGATTTTAGTCTTGCAGAACTTACAGGGCCAAAAATGTATATAGTAGTAATGCTTAGCTTAATAAAAATGCTAAAGAATCTTGTGTAAGTCTAATAGATGAATATCATCAATCACTGTATATACTAATACAACATGTAAAATATTTTTTTTTAGATTTTTTTAACAATGGTTCAAGTCAAACAGTAGTGTTTTCATCCAGTTTCCGACAAATATTTTAAACTTGCTTGTGATTTCTTTGAAAGATGATTATATCTCTCTTACAGTTGGTTGTATTAGTAGAACAGTAATCAATATCGTTCAAAGGTCATTATTAATTAAATATTTATTTATTTATTATTATAACTTCCCAAAAAATGGTTTATTATTAATAATATTATAGATGTTGTATGTTGGAAAAAAGGATAATGCACAGCACTTGTTTCGTGATCAACTAAACACAGGCTTTCCATACATTATATTTAATGTTAAATATTTTGGGGTCTTACATAATAATTCTAACTTCCTTTGTCCAAAAGAAGATTAATCTGACCTTGATCCCTATGGATATGGTTAGGGTTGGGAAATTTAACACAGTATTATATGATGTATATTATACAGTGGATTTTTGTTATTCCCAACCCTAGAGCAATGAAAAATTCAGAAGTGGAAATGGAGGACTCTGAATTTTATCAAAATTGCATTCAGGCTCTTAAAGAGCAAGTTGGAAGTCTCTCATATTCTTGACCTTTGTCTTTAATAATAATATTAGGGTTACAAAGTGGGCAATGGGATATGTGCAAAAAGGATAATTATTAAATCTAATACCAAGTTCAATATATTCAGTTTAATATTGTTCATTCATTTTTCAGATATGATATTTAGGGGGCTCTATTATGATTTAATTAATGGTGCAATTGAGTATAAAGGAAGGTTTTATTTAGGCGTGTAACAAAAGGCATTTAAATGAATTATATACCCAGACTCATCATCAAATTTTCTGACTTTTGTTGAGATTAGTTCCTTAAATTTTCATATCCGCATGCATGGTCTTAGTAGAACCTTAAAAAATATATAGAAGTGTTACTCTGGATGCATCAGTAACCTATATATGATTTTTTGGGGTATTATTACTTTGGTGATGCAATTTACAAACTTTATCATCAAATATATTACATAACCATTGGGAATATACAGGAACAAAGGCATGACACATACAAAGAGATTAAACAAAAGAGATGGTTTTATTTTGATTTAATCAACATGTAGAAAGATACATAAGAATATAAGGCATAACAATTTCATGAGATGAAATACTCAGACCCAAAACCATTTATGAGTATTAGTCATTCTCTCTACTATTTTATTATTATAAATATCTTTGTCTTCATTATCTTCCCATTTCTTTATTCTTCCTTGCAGATATATTAAATATAACAAATTTCTATTCTATTTATAGATCATATTTATTGTTTGGAAGATAAATCCTTATATTATACTAACATTGCCAAATGTGTTGATGCCAAGGATAAATGGAATCAAATTTATAATCATTGACTTATAATACATTGCACAAGAACAGTCATATCATGTTAGTAATAGATTATCTGGAAGGATATGGTGATTTGGCTAGCATTATTAAAACCCTTAAATTAAGTGACTATTGATGAACTTTTTACCTAATTATTTGAAATCATTATTACAATATTAATGATAGAAGAAAAAATATTATCATTATCATACAGTCAGTGCTCAATATAGGAACTTCTTTACATAGTCACTATGTAATAGGATCACTATATTGAGCACAAATTGCACTCATTATTTAATTTTAAGGTTCTGAACGAAACAAAAATGAAATGAGTTGGGTTGGATTCTAAAGCAATCTGCATTTCTAATGTCATATCAAATGGGACATGCTGTGACAAAGTGAACTGAGGGGTGTTATCTTGTAAGAAATTTGAAGGTTATACGATTTAGCTGGTTTTATGGTTTAGTTGTTCTGAACTAATGAAATAAAGGGTTGAATGAATCAGTTTATGATGTTTAGTATCCCTCATTTTACTTTTACAGACTGATGATGTTTACAAAGAATTTGTTTTTTATACAGGACCAGCAGATACTTCTATTATTGTAAAGTCTGGTTATAGAGAATTTGCAAATTCTCCAGATGTAAGAATTGAAATCAACAAGAGAAAATTATATAATAATAATAAATGTTTTAATATGTTCTAAATCAGCTTCGATTGAAGGAATTTATTATTGTACTGGCAAATGGTGGAAGTATTTGCAAGACATATGCCAATTGGAACAGTAAAAGCAGGTTGGAATGTTGAATTTAGAAATATCACCCAAGATATTCCATTAGGTTGTTAATAGGAGAAGTTGTACAAGATGAGGATAAAGTGATAATTTTGGTAAAGAATGGAAAGCATAAAGCTAGAATTTGATTTAAGTTTAATTGATGATCCGTGAATAAACCAGTGAAAATTAGTAGGATCGGTGGTAAAAAATTGTCAATTGACAATGTTTAACAAATAATAAGGCATGATATTTTTGTATTACAAATCTTGCTCTTTTTATGTATGTGTAAGGTAAATCTCACAGAATAATATGTCAAAATATTAAAGGGATTGGAGTGTTCTTCAAAAACTTTTGTATGCTTGTCACTGAGATTTCAAGAAGTCAATAACATATAAAAATTCAGAATTTTTTAACTTTCAGCCAACACTATAAAGTATTGGTCCCATCCATGATGTCAGTAAAACAAAATAAAAGAGTTTTGCATTATAATGAGATTCCACCCTATGCCATTACCTTTTGATGTACTTTTGGCAAATCTCGGATTAGTCTGTTGTTTCCATCTTTGTGCCATCTACTAACTTTGTTTCTAAAAGATTGAAAGCTGTTTCATCTGTGAATATTGTTTTGTCCCAATTAGTGTTGATATGTGCTCATGCTTTTCGTGCTTCAATGTGTTGACTTGCCAGCATGGGAGTTCCAATAGGTATACCCCAACTCAATAAATTCTTGAACATCCTAATCTTTTTTCTTTTTTTCAAAATTAATAGAACCACCAATTGTAGACATTTAAATTTCCAAATATTTTTTTTTTTAAAAAAAAATTTATTTTTTATTTTTGACATTTTTAAAAGCATAATGGAAATTTGAAATGTTACACTAATTTTTTACATTGCGCAACGTAGCTTTACAATACACGGCAAACATTCTGGCAATAAAAAGTAAGTGATAAACCGGATTTGAATTGGATCTGAACTTGATCCCCAATTTAGAGAGGTAACAACTATATACTGGCGAAGTTTCAGAAGCAATGAGTTCTGTATAACGTTTCGTGTAACAACAAACTCTCACTATGCTATTTTTAAATAAATCATTTTTATACAATAAAATTTATAGATTATCGAATAACACACTAAGATATAAAAGAATTGAATGAATTAGTATAAACTTTAATACATGATTTAATATAATACTTTTTCGTTTTATATATCAAATATAAAAATTACTGATAATTATTTTTTTTTAAAAAAAAAAAATGAAAATAAAAGATTTTTTTATTTTTTTATTTGATTTTCGTGAAAATGATTCCTATTTTTTAAAAATTCTTAAATTTTTTCTGATAACATTATCAATGTTATTATTAGGGATATTTACAATCCTTAGGCTTGTTAATAATGATATTTCAACCATCAATGAATTTAAAAATGATGATGAAAATATGAATATAGGTAAATAATTAATTCTATTTTAAAAATTTCATTATTTTATTCAATAATATTAAATATTTTTTTTTAAAAAAAAAGTGATTGACATAACACTACCTTTTGGAAAAAATATATCAAAAATATTTTGTGCTATTCATGATTATTTGGATGATTGTAATCTAAATTGTAATAATACCAATAATAATTTTTATACATACATAGAAATACCAACTTGTATTTTTAAAAAAAAAAATTCTATTTATATTAGTATTACTACTACAATCGATGCTAATGATACCGTGAATTATATTATTGTTGATTTCAAATCCCCAGGAGGAAAATCTAGTTCTTTTATACCTAAAACAAATTATTCTTATGATATAAATTTTAAAAAAAAAATAATTAAAAAACTAATTCGGAATTGGAAAAGTTATTTAGGATTATTTATAGAATATGATAAAACAATTTTGTGGGAACTAGATGGTTTATATACTACACAATTATCAGAAAATCTAGATAATCAAACAATCACTATGAATTTTTCACCTCGAAATCCAAATACTGAAATAATCACTGAAATAAAGTAATTTTTTATATTATTTATTTATTATTATTATTATTAAAATTAATTTAAGTATTATATTATATTATATTATTTAGAGTATATACGGTAAATTAATAATTATTCTTTTTAAATCATAATATTATACGTAATTTTAATTTTTATAAATTTGTTCATTATAGTTATTTGGTATAATTGGTACAATTGGTGGTATTTGGAGTTTGATGACAATTTTTTATATCATGTTATTTGGTAAGTATAATTTATATTAATTGCCGATCCACAAATGAATGAGAGAGACTACAAAATCTGCACATCATGCATAGAAAAATCTTAATTTTTTAGATATAGTTATTTTTTGAGATTAACTTTATTCATGTAATGTCATCCTTTGGCACAAAAAGAGTAGTACAATTTTTTGTGTAAAGGTTGACAATTGGCAATTTCTGACATTTTGCCCCAAAATTTATTATAAAAATGCAGATCTTCTCTCTCATTCATTCACATATCACCAATTAATAATATTTATTAAAATAGTAATTAATAATAATTATACTTATTATTAGGAATGAGTAAATTTCAACATTGGGGAATAATTCATAAATATGGATGTTGTTTCATAAATCAAACCAAAAATCAATTCAATAAAAAAATATTTTTAATTAATAATGATAATGAATTGAATATGGAAAAAAGGTTGAAATCACTTGAGTTATTTGAAAGATTTTTAAAAATAAATGTTGTAGATGTTGAATTATTTGAAAAATTTTCAAAAGAAAATGAATTAGAAGAAAATGACAATGGGGAATTGGAAGTAATTGGAAAAGATGAATAATTTTCTTTATTTGTTTTTATTTTAAATAAATTAAAAATAAATAAAAATTTGGATTATATAAATAAATAGTTTTATTTTTATAAATGTTTAAATAAAATTATTTGTTTTTTCTTCTTCTTCCATATCAATATCTTCATATTCTTCATCTTTGTTATTTAATTCTCCCAGAATATTGTTGATTTTTGAAAAAGTATCCATATTTTTATCACGTTTGTACCAAAAAAATTGAAAATTGTGTCAAGCAAAAATTTTTTTTTTGTTATAAAAAAAAAAATAATTATAAAGATCTGTCCCAAGAACAAAACAAGGTACACCATTTAATACATCTGATTTATAAACAACTTTAAATTTAGTACCCATATTATATTTATAACTATATTCAGATGGTGGTTCAATAATTTTTTCATCTTTAATAAAAACAACTCTAATTTGACTAGCCACAAGTTTTTCAATTACAATCATTATACCATCATCTTTATTTTTAAATATACAATGACCTTCAATTGAGAAACAAGTTAAATAAATTAACCAAATTATCAGTAGAAAAAAAGATTAAATTTAACGAAACAAAAATTAATTTGGATTGATAATTTTTTAGAAAATCATATAGATTTTTGAATTGTTGAAACAATATCATAATAATTTAAATATTTATTATTTAAAATTAATAAAATGTATATTTTAATAATAAATATTAAAATTATGTTTTTTTATTATTATTATTTAATATTCACTATTATCAGTAGAAATAGTAATATTATCATCATCAACATCATTATTAATAATAAATTTATTTTTATAGTTTTCATAAATTTTTTTTTTCTTTTCTAATTTATCCAATTTTCTCTGTTCTTTTACTCGAATTGGTTCTTGAAAATTATGGATAACAAATTTTTTTTCAGAATTAATTTGATAAATTTTTTTACCATTAGATGTTCAATTAAAAAAGCGTATGTATTACAAAAATAAACTAAAGGAAAATTCCGATGCTTATTTGAAATATTCATTATTATAACTTCATTAGGTTTTGAAATTTCAAAATCATTCATATCCAAAAAAACCAAACTTGCATTATTAACTGTACTAGGAATTGTTTCAAATTTTAATCCTTCGAATTCTTGTATATTACTATTATATATTTCGTTATCATTATCATCTCTATTTTCTATAGGGATGTTAAATGGTCTGTCCAGTCCGGTCCATGTCAGTCTTATTTAAAGACAGACCAAACTGTTAGTTTTGAAAATGGTCTGAAAAAGACTAATGGTTCAGTCTGAGACTGCGGTCTTTATTAATTCAAACAAATATCATAATTTTTTTATTGAAAAACTTTAACTATATTAAAAATTAAAATACATATTATTCATCAATTAACCCAATCCAATTCAACTCTTCATTACCTTCCATATTTTCATCAGATGTAAATGGTTCTTCAACAACATCTAAAATAATTTGATCATTATCAATTTCTGAAAAATAGGTCAACCAACTTTTTAGACATATACTAGCTCTTGCAGTTTGTGGGTGAAGCCTTGATCTTGTTTTACGAATAGTGTGATTAGCAAGTGAAAATAATTGTTCACAAGGCACAGAGGTGGCCTGAACAGTGAGATAATCTTTGGCAATTCTTGCCAAAGTTGGAAACTCTGTTTGATGTGTTTTCCACCAATTTAATGGATCTATATTTTCATTGGTAATAATTGGTAATTGTAAATAATATATATAACAATTTTTTAATTCAATATTTTTTGTAATTATTAATAGAGTTCACTCTCTCTATAACGAACCCTCCGTCCCTATATGTAATTTCTCTGATTTTGGTCGTTATAGAGAAATTTTACTTAGCGGCCGTTATAGAGAGAGAAATTAATTATAAAAAATTGAAACGGGAACAAAAGGGAAGTTCGTTATAGAGAAATTTTGCTTAGTGGTCGTTATAGAGAGGGTCGTTATAGAGAGAGTAGACTGTAGTAAACTATTTATTTATCAATTGTTAACATAAATTTGTATGAAGTAAAGGGAAAAAATTAAGAGTCATAAAATCATAAATCATAAATTTTCAAGAGAGTATAATTTATGGTTATTATTATTAATATAAAAAAAAAGACCGTTTTAGGACCAATCTAGTGTAACAATTTCACTATAGAAATGGTCCAAGACTGGTCCAAGACGGACTGGTTTAAACTTCAGTCCCTATTTGAAAAAAGACTGTTTTAGGACCATTTTCACATGATAAAGACTGCAAAGACTACCAGTTGGTCTCTTTTGAGAAAAGTCCAGTCCAGTCCAAGGACAGACCGTCAGTCCACCAGTCTTTTAGGACTGTTTAACATCCCTACACGTAATGCCAAGTCATTCGAGGGAAAGATAAAAAAATTGCTTTAAATGGATTTGATAAAGAAACCTGTCCTTGTGAGCGTAATTATTATTTGCGGTGACACGCAAAAACTTTGTTTCTTATCTTTACATTAGTTTTTGTCATGTCACTTTATTCAATTATTTGTGATGATCTGCAGGTGTCCCTATACTTTTGTCAAACTATGCAATCAGATATTGATCCAGAATTAATATATTACGACAATTCTACCCTAAGCCTAGAAACATATCATCTTTAAATTACTGTTAGTTCTCAAACCCATGCTAAAAAAATAAGTAAAAAAAGGAGCATTGCTTGGAAGTATTTTAAACAGGAAGGTAATGTTGCGAAATATCAAGTAATTGCAAAACAAGGTGATAAAGAAAATCATGTGTGGGAAAGAATTGGAATTTTTTCAAAATACTAGTGGGATGTATCATCTAAATGCAGAACATAACATTGTTAAAAATGATAGTGAAATAAAAAGATATATTTCTATTTTCACGACAATTATTGACATACATTTATATGGCAAAACATTAGATAATTATATAAAAAACAACACGAATTAAATTTAGCATCAACGGAATTATAATCACATTTCCAATTCTTTCAGAATATTACTATTAATAAACAAAAAAATAAGCCTTTAATTGGTGATATTAACACTAATATATACGTATCCATTATAACAACAACAACAACAACAACAACAATAATAAAAAAGGTTTGGACGGATTTAAAATTCCATATCTTAGTAATAGTAATACGTAGTCATTATTATTATCATTCAATAAACTTTAATTGACGATCCGTCTATGAATATATATAGCATAATAATAATAATATTATTAATATATATTAATATGAAAGATCCCTGATATGATTTTGAAGATCAAAAAAGGGTTTATTAAATTATTAAATAAAATATGCAAAATGATTGCATATTTCTAAAAAAAAGAAGCAATAATGAAACCAATGTATATATATTTATATGATGAATCCATGTATTGATAATAAAATTAATTTTAATCTTAAAAATGAGCGAAAGAAATTTTATAGAAGTAGTAACAGAAAATGACAATATTCCAAGAAATACTCCACATAATGGAAACGAGATTGATGAGATTAAATATAGTCCTAATTCCAAATATATTGTAACACATTGTCGGGATGATAAATCATTAGTTGGATGGTTAATTGAAGTTGGCAAAAAAACACAATATAATTATTTTAATTATTCAAAAAAAGATTTTTTAACAGATTTAAAAAAACCTAAAAATAAAACAGAACTTGATGCGAATGTGAATGTGAATATAGATAGTGTTTCTGACAACAAACTTATAATTTTGCGAATAATTTTACAAATTGATAATACCAAAACCTATTATTCTTGTAAGTATTATAATTTGTTATTAAAATAAGCAAATGGATGCAATATTAATTATATATAGAATTTACAATTTTAGGTTTTCTCGATTTGTCAAAAGGAAAATATATTAATATCGATTTTAAAAACATGAACCGTAAAAAGTTTTTTTATAAAAGCTTTTTTACTAACAATAATGACTTAACAATGATAGAATATGATCGAATACTTAAAGATATTCAAGTTGTTCACAAAATCCATGTGTTTAAATATGATGATGTAGTTCATGAGAATGAGAAAAGTAAACATTGTTATATTTATAAGGAGGATAATTCTTCGCAGATTAGGATTAATAATACCATTATTGCTAATACCACTACATTCACAACACAATCGAAATGGGATAAATTAAAGTTATATAAAAACATTCTTATATATAAAAAAAATATTTTCGTTGATAAAGAAGAGGAATTGATGGTATATTATGGAGACAACTCAAGACTTGTAGTTTACTCATTAAAAGAGAATAAAATTATTTCTTCACGTAAGTATTTAATAATTATTTAATAACTATTTTTATAATGACAAAGAAAATAGATTTATTTTACAATTCAATTTGTAGATAAATTCAAAGAAAATATTGAGAAAGTAGATTTTACAAAAGCTGAAAAAGTTGAAAAAGCTGAAAAAGATGAAAAAGATGAAAAACCTACATTGATTTTTATTGTATTATATTCTAGTGAGTCAAAAACTTACACATGCAAAGTAATGGATCCGTATGGTTTTAAAAAATATAAAGATATTGATATATTAAAAGATATCAGCGATAAAAATATTTTATTTGGGCCAATTTCACCTGGAAATGAAATTGCTATAGTTATTAACGATGAGAATCTAGACAAGAAATTGGATATTAGTCAATTAGATGACGAAGTAAAAAACGAAGAGAAAATAAAATGTGAACTTGAAAAAGAACTTGAAAATGCATTAATGCAGGGAAATAGCGCTCTTGTAAGGAAAACACTTAATTCGTGTTTAGAGTTCTTTGAAAATGATGATGATGTTACATCAAATATCAGTTTATTAAAAATAATTATTGATAAGCTACCAGAATTGCAAAAATATCATCAAAATTTAGTTTTAAAATTCTTCAGTAAAACCTCAATGATATTATTTCCACTTAGCAATTCCATCGAACTATATGAATCTTTCTATCAAGGAAATTCTTATGAAACTTGCATTTTTAAAAACAATATTTTTAATTTAAATTATTTAAAACTTCTTTGTTATTATATTCGTGATTTTTTTAAGTTATTTGGTCGTTGTGTAACAGTCCTCTGTGTTTTCTATATTTTTTGTTTTATTGGATTGATTTTTGTTTACCTATTATTATCATCATATAGTTATCCATTAAATACACCTGATTTATGTATAATTACTGCTGGCATAGTTATTGCTATAGTTTCAATCAAATATCTTTTTTCACGTAATGTTGAGCCTAAGCCTGGTATAATTTTATTTATTCCAATCCCCGGGCTTTTAAGTTACACAAACAACACAAACAGCAACCGTTCATTTTTAAAAGGACTCTTTAATCTAAATTATAGCAAATTTACTAAATCAAAAGTAGAAGATAATCCAGGAATCTATAAATATTGGAATGCACAAGCAATCGTAAATTTCAAATGGAATGCTTTTGGACTACGTTCTTATATAATGATTTGGATATTTTATACAGTCTTTTTATTATGTTTTGCTGTTTTTTCCGCTTCAATTACGGAAAAAGGAGATAATAATAATGACTTATTAAAAGTCACAATAATCCTTGGGGTTATTCAACTTTTTTTTGAGATCAAACAATTACGTTACATGGGACCAAAAGAATATTTTGCTGATTTTTGGAATATTTTTGGTATGATTTTTTTTTACTTTTTTTAATAATATTAAATTAAATAATAACATCGATAATAATATTATTAGATCTTGGAGCATATTTGATCCCAACAATTACTTCAATCTTATGGTTAATTTTCATACCTACAAAATACGAAGCATCTCGAGACGATATATTAACTATCTTCTTAGTATTAAGGAACTTGATGTCATTATCGAATTTACTATTGGATCTGAAATTTTTATTATTTCTTAGAGCATTTGATTCTTTTGGGCGTTTTTTTGCAATAATTATCGGAGTTGCTAAAGAAATTTTCCATTTTTTATTAATATTACTTGTAATTATTTTAAGCTTTTCACATGCATTATACATAACATTAAAACCAATAAGTCAGTATGAAGATTTATCTAAACCTGACTTTAAAAATAATAGTTTCGATAATAACTATCCTTGGAATCTCACAAATGAATATTATATATTATTTACAAATGGTTCACTTGATAAAAATTCAACAATAATTCAAAAACCGGATAGTAATACCAACATGTTTGCTAAAATTTCTACTTCAATATTTGCGACGTACAGATTTCTTACTGGTAAACATTTCTATTTTTATTTAAGTAATATTTATTTTTATAAGATTAAATCATATTAATTTTAATTAATAATTTTATAGGTGATGGTGGAATGTTTGGAGTATGGGAAATATATAACGAACCTTTCCTTGCATTTTTAATTGTTTCATTTTCATTTGTAGTAGTTGTATATCTTTTGAATCTATTTATTGGATTACTTAGTAATGCAATTATTAACTATAATACAGAAGAAGTATTTTTTGCTCAAAAAGCAAAGGTATATATACAATTTTTATGAAATAAATTTTTGATATATATGTTACTATTTTATGATTATTAATATTTTGTAATTAATTAATTAATTTTAGATTATTGCTGAGGTTGAATTAATATACTTACCGGATAAGCTTCCTGACATCTTGTAAGTACAATCAACGAATTTTTTATCAAAATTTTATTTAATTATATCAATTTAATAATATACATACATATATACATTTTATTAGATATTATAAAGTTCCAGTAGAAGATGTTCGAAAAAAGATAAAAGAAATTGATGAAGGTTACGATCCAGAGCTTTTGCCTCATATTTCTGAAGAACTCAGAACTCTTTTGGGAGCACCTAAAAATGAACGCATAACTTTTTTGGGAGCACCTAAAAGTGAATTTGATGAAAAGTTTCGAATTTTGATGGAGGAAATTAAGAAAATTAATATTGGTAGCAATAGCAATAGCAATAGCAATAGCCATATCAATAATAATAGCAATAAATAACAATGATACTTTTAATAATAATAATTATAATATAGTTTTATTTCTCTAAAAGAAAATAAATAAATTTCAGAGAAATACAATAATTTACTCTAAAAAATGTATTTTTGTTATTGTTATTTTATTTAAGATGTAAAAAACGGAATATGTTTTATATTAATATTAATATTACTCTAATTATTTTATTAATATATTATTAGTAATTTGTCATAAATAAAGTAAAATAAAGTAATTGAATTTAGCAATGTGTCGCGAGAATAAAGTGATTGAATTTAGCAATGTGTCGCGAGAATAAATCAAGTGCCAACTATTATAAAAAGGCTGGTATCAAAACCAACTCAGAAGTTTCCTCACTTTTGTTTTATTTAATATTTTAATATAATTAATATTAATATAATAATTTTACTGACGTGATTATATAAAATCAATAAACATATAAATTTATACCTTTTTTTAAAAATGGATGAACAAATACAAGAAATCTTTGATTATCAAGAAATAGGCAACTTCTACCAAGAGGATTTTTACATCGACCCTGATGAATCAATTAGTCATGCCTTTACTGATGTTCGGTCAGAAATAACAGATACTAATACTGATGTTTCTACCTCATATGCAATAAAGTTGTTAACATTTAGTTGGCTTATATTATTGAAGTTTTTTATATATATCAAAATTGGATCGAGTATATATATAAATTTTAAAGCTCATTAAAGGCCAAATAAGAGCATAGTGGAATGATATTAATATCGTGTTACATTGTAATTTCGCGTTGTCTTTTTCTTTTTCTTGTTAAAACAAAGATTTGATTTCTTGCAAATAATGTTTGATTTGTATTAATAGTTGTTGGTAGGTAAGAAACAATATATGTCAATAAACCATCATTTTCTTCAACAAATTTTTTATTTCTTTCTATATTAATATATAATAAAATGTCATCAGAATACGACAAAAATTTACACTTGGCCCATATATTTGGTATAGCTTCGATGGTAAATAAATTATTGAATAAAATTATTTGTTTTAAAATCGCACTCAAGTTTTTAACCTTCATTGAATGTTGTTAGGTGTTTTATCACAATACCATAATTTCAGTTTTCACAATACGAAAAAGACCGAGAAACATCCCTGATATTGCAAGAATTATTTTCAACGTTACAGGTGGAATTCGACTCACTCTCCAATTCGTTTATTCCGTACTACCGCCATTTGTCGACCTGTCAGCATGTAAAACTGTCTCTTTCGTTTACGCAATCATCATTCTGATCTATAGAGTTTCTCTGTCAGCTTTTTTATTATGGAGGATAAAACATATTGGTGAAACGGAATTCGACAAGCAGAGTGCTTATATCTTATTTTCTATAAGAACGATCTTACAAGTGATTAATAAATATTTTATATTTATATACATATATACATATATATATATATAATAATAATAACAATGTGCTTGATTTTTTTAGATTATGCATATTGGTTTATTAAAACCAACAATTACTTTGAATACTTCCACGCCAAATGTTCATCCTGCCCATTGTGATCCGAACCTTTCAACAAATCTAGTTATTTGGGGTTGGATTATAGCAGATTTCTTGATCGATATTTATGTATCAATTCGATTATTTATAATAATGGGTTCAGCCAATAAAAGTCTTAGCCATCTCTTCCTCTTCTTTTTCCAATAAAAAATTTTCATCAAAGGAATTTAAACTTTTTTGAAAAGCTTTACCATTATCAAT